GAACGAAAAAAAGCTTGACTTTTCTTTGCTGTGTGTTTCGAGTCATTATCTTGTTGGAAAATGAAATTATCTTCTAGTCCGAGTTTCAACAAACACTCCTCCAAATTTTCATTTATTATATCAATGTAGACATCTGCTGTCATAATTCCGTTAATTTTGACAAGATTTCCCACTCCTGCCCATGAGAAACATCCCCAGACTAAAATATTTCCTCCGCCATACTTTACAGTTTTCTGAATAACGATCTTGAAGCTCTTCGCCGTGTTTTCTCCAGACTCTAAACCGCTTCTTTTGTCCAAATAACTCGAATTTGCTTTCATCTGTCCATAAAATATTTTTCCAGAAGTCCAATGACATATTTGCATACTTCCGAGCAAATTGCAAACGTTTTTTCTTATTGGTGACGCTAAAGAAAGGTCGTTTACGTGCAAACCGGCTGTGTAAATTTGCTTCATTGAGTCTTCGACGTACAGTGCGGTCAGAAACAGTAAGATAAATGTTTTCCTGAATTTCTCTAACAGTAATCTTTGGATTTTTCTTAACTTCACGGATTATTTTCATATCCTCCCGCTTGGATGTTACTCGTTTTCGACCTCTTCCGATTCTATCTGCCACCGATCCAGTTGATTGAAATTTTCTTCTGATCTGTTCTATTGCTCCTCTACTTACTTCATAATTTTTGGCTATATTCCGTTGGGAAAGACCTTTTTGAATATCTCGCACAATTAAGTTTCGAACTTGTGTGGAAATTGATCTTCCTCCCATTTTTGACCGCGAATTTTTTGTAATAATCGAGATAAGCCAATGTTGCAAAAATGATTAACAACAACGAGAAGTGAGCGCAATAACATGAACATATTGACATGACAACCAAACAAAATATTGTATATATTAAATCGAACAAATCTGAATGGCTTTTTTATTTTGTCAATATAATAAACAGCAATATTTAAGAAATATAAATAAAACTGAAAAGTAAAAAATAATTTATGTGATTGTAACATAAAATTTTAAAATAAATAATAAATGCTTCTTCTTTCATCAATGAAAATCTCATTGTTTTAATATTTTTACTCTTTCATTAAGCAAAACAGTATAACTAGGAAAATGGCTTTTTATTTTTGCCGGTCACTGTATATGAGTTGATAATTATAAAAGATTATTATGAGTTATGTGATGATGACGAGGTCGCTTTATCTATGTATATTTTCTTCAATATATCGACATTTTCTAAAAACACATTACATTAATGAATTGTATAATTATACATTATGTACACATTTTATTTATATATAAAAAAAATTATGTACATACTGCGACGCTTTTTCAATTCTAATTTTTATTCTCGCGGGGGAGCGGAAGCGCCGTCAAAAACACAAGGGTTTTGGTGTACTCGCGATCGGCGGGACAGGGATGGAGGGTGTCCGCGCGCGAGCCGCGGCGGAGCGAAGGCCGTCTCGATACCTCGGAAATGGGCGCCAGGCACGGTCTTTCACGTACCAGTTTTCACGAATTTTTCGAAAAGCGCGAAAGAATACGACAGCCCGCTTCGCCACGGGCTGGCTAGCTCGCCTAACGATAGAGGGGCGGGGTTTGAAAGAAAAAGTTAATTGATTGAGCGAGCTTACTAAATTGACAGACAAAGACGGACACAGAAATTACGGATGATCGCCAGCCAAATAAAGAACGCGAGATTTAATAAAAAAATAACAGATTTATTAAGAGATTAAGAAAGTATTAACAGAAAAGAAATAAAATTCGATACAGAATGGAAACAGAAATAATATACTAGCCACGAATTGACAATAAATCTCGAAACTAGAAAAACGCGCGATATTCTAAGTCGGTCTAACAAAGAGCGTCTATTACGGAGGCTTCCTAAAGTCGAAGCTCCTGAGAACAATAATTTCTATAACGGAATTTTGGTAATTCGAATTCTCGCTAACGGTCGTACCATACGCGATAGAGAGAGAGAGCGATAGTACCTGCCTATCATTCGCAGCTTCGACAGCCTCGCGGAGATCTTACTAATTAACTGCGTATCTCGCTATTTCCTCCGAGCGTACTCGAAGTCGACAACCCAGAAACAAGACGGCCGATTAGTTACGCAATAAGCGAAAAGATATTAGTTTCGCGAGGAGAGATCTCGCATACGATTGGCGGACGATACCGGCGAAGTTCGATAGCCGGCGGCGGTCGGAGATTTTTCCGCCTTTTTCTGCGACGCTCGCAACTTAAATTTTTCGGGCAATCGGGGCGATGCGACAATGTCGTGTCACACCCCCGATACCTTCAACAGCGTGAGAATTAATTATCTTCTCGGTCTCAAGGCAATAAGGAAGGCTGGGCGACAGTCCCGCACCGCGCCTCCTTCGATAGCCGCAATATTTGCCAGGAATTTCCTGACCTCAGATATCGATACTTAGAATCGGGCGATACCCGCACACCACGACAAATTCGAGGAATTAAGTTTCCTTTTGCGAGACGAACAACTCGCACGCACACAATGGACGCGACAATAATACGCAGTTTCACGCAATATTCACGAACGATGATGATACTACACGAAGACTCCTTAATCACGACCAATTACGTTCCACAGACTCGCTCTGAGACATATTTCAGAGGTGCGAGACGCGGCTTCGACAACCAAACGACAGCCCGTGCGAACTACGCATCGCTCGCGATTTACGACGCACACGTCGATACCCAACGGTCGAATGCTACGCGTATTACGCACCCTGACACCCGGAGAGAGACGAGAATTACCCTACGATACGCACTTCCGTCGCCAGTGTCCGCGCATCCTCAGCCGCTTGTCTCCTGTCGCCCGAAATGCCCAAAATCGACCGACTCAGCAGAAGACTCGAGCGGTCGCGATAAACGCCGTAATGACGACGGCGACAGAACGGCCGGCGAGCGGACACAATCACGCTCGCGGAGCACAAAATTACGTGGGCAACCTCACCGATGAAGGCTTCTCCCGGCTGCGGGGATGATCCTCGGCCTCTTCCTTCACGGTCCGTCTCGAGCCCACACGACAATACACAGTATACTTTTCTTTTTGACTCTTCAGTCGAGCGGCCGCGGCAAAAGTGATCCCTGGATCTCGCGATCCAGGGTCGATAGCGGGGTCGCTGGCCGCGCAGGGGGATGCGCGGACCCCCGGCCAATTAGCGGCCGACACGCGCGAGGTCCTGGCGCCTCGCGCGCCACGCGAGGCATTATCGCGCCCCGCGCGAAATAGCGCCAAGCTTGAACGCTGCCGCGGGCCTTTGTTCGGCTCGGGTGAGGTCCTTCCCTCGCCGATCCTCTCTTGGAGGATGGTTGTCGTATCGGCTGTCGTTCCCGACTGTCGAGGAGAGGCAATGCTGCTCTCTCCTGTTCGGATTTCCGATGCCGGGTTCTCGGAGTCAGGCTCCTCCGTTCTTCCGAATTTCCCTCGGCTGTCGTTTATAGCTGTCGCGGAGCGGCGATGCTGTTCTATCCTGTTCTTCGGTGGTGAGGTGCCTCTAGCCGAACTCGATACAAAATAAAAATAGAAAAAATAACAATTAATATTATACGCAACTATACCAATTCGCTCGTCTCTCCGGGGAGTACGGTAGCTCTCTCTCTCTCTTGACCTTTGGCGCGGCCACTCGGCTCCCGCCCCGTCAAAATTGCCGGGGCGGATAGACGCGACGGGACGGCCACGTCACAATACTTTCTCTCGCGACGAGCTTTGGCTTGTACTAGCCATTTTGCGATGATTTGGGCAATCTCCGTCTCAGTCGTATCTTTATAATGAACGCGGACAGTTTCTATTGTAGTTCCATAAAATTAGTAACATATTAATACCAATATGACATGCTGACACATAATCAAGGAGAAGTTAAGTCTTAAAAATCTGTAATAGTATAACACTTGCTAAGTATGATTTTATACAAAATCAAATCTTGAAAAGCTTTTTCTTTTTTGCTCCAGCCATGCTGTACATTTCAGCCAAGGGATTAGTTATCAACTTTTTCAATAAATTAATCGTGCAAGAATGCACATCGAAACCTCCCAAGCCTTTTAATGTATATACCTATGATATAAAATAAATAATTTAAAAAATACATATTGATAAATATTAATTTAACAGTGATTTAGCAGAACATTTTTTTACAACTGTTGAAAGTTTTCTGTGTTGAGATTAGATTTATCTAGGTCTAAAAAAATAATCCAATCTCAATTCAGAAAATTTCCACCAGTTGTAAAAACGTTCTGCTAAATGCACTTATTTTATGATTTTATAAATAACATGTACACTTTATAAAATATTAAATTTGTATATATATATAAAGATATTCTCTTTAAAATATATAACTTTCTAAATATTCAAAATGTTCTTTGCATCGCGAGCAAATATAATAACAATATTTAAATATTTAAATATTTAAAAATACAAATTTAAATATTTAAAAACAATATTTAAAAATATTTAAAGGTAAGAAATAACATACCATGCTTTCAAAAAATTCTTTGTTCTTCAATTTTGTTTCTAAAATATCCAATGCCAATTCATTATGCAAAGGTAATCCTATTTCTTCATCTTGAAGAATATCATCTTCACGTCTGTCAAGGCTGAAACGACATTACTCTTTGTGAATCTCCAGTCTCTTGTCCACCATTTTTACTTGATGAATAATAATGTTCAGTTTGCGAAGTATTTCTGTTTGAAAATCTGCATAATAAATTTTAAATCCTTTATATGAACACATAGGAACGACCAATCGGCGCAATAATATATATATTTTATGTAAAAAATACCCATTTTGAGCATTGTAATCCATATTTTACATAATATTAAAATATTAAAATTTCTTGAGAAATATATTATTTGCAAAAGTATTTAAAATGATATGAATAAACAATTCTCTATTCTGTGCTTTATCCAAATATTCAAAAAGTACACAAATGGAAATAACTTAATGATTATAATGAATAATAAAAAATAATTATTTTGCAGATTCATTCTATTCAATAATTTGTTCGCCTAAAATTTTGTAAAAAATGTTTATTTTGTTTTAACTATACTTAATTATGACTAAATATTTACTTGATGATATAGATTGCCTTTTACATGATGATGTAGATTGTTTTCCCGTACATGAAATATCAGATTGCACGCTACTGGAAGATTCCTTCGTACTATATTTATTAAAATTATATAATGATGAATTAATATCAGTATTGCTTGTTTGATTGTGAAATATCTTTTTTTTCTTTTCTGGTAGCGTCTGTGTCTGTTTTACAATTGATAATGTGGGCAAAGGCGGAATTTTACTGGGTTTTTTTTTACAGATTTCTTGAGTTGTACGTGATTTCTCTTCAGAATCTTCCTCTTCAGTTGCTTCATTTTCAAAATCTTCCTCCTCAGAACTAGAAGTGAATCTTCTGTTTGCCCGATTACGTCTACACATTTTTTTGTCAATATCATCTTTCCTAGACTCAATATCAGAAATTTGTTCAGCCAATTTCAGTTTTCGCATGCCGTTTGTATATGTATCTGAAATAATATAGTATTTAATAAAATATATATTGTTAATATCGAACTGAGAAAGATGTTTTGTGAGAAATAGGATAGAAAAAAATTAATTTCTCTGGTGGAAAATTTCTCTGTCTTTTCAGACGTTCGGATTAGCTCACAAAGTCAAAATTTAAGTGAAACATCGACCAAAGAAATAAAAATTTGCGAATTAGAAAATTATAAAGTCTATATAACATACATTTAACGCATCGTTACAATACAGATATGTATAAAGACCAGTACAAATTCGTTTTCTTGAAACATCAATTTGGGTGACATTTTTCCACCAGTGTTATGGGGGAAGGGTAAATATAAAGATAAAAATATTGTAAAAATAACATAAACATCATTATACACAAAAACATAAAAAGGACATTTACTAAAAATTTAAACTGTAAATTGAAAGAAATATAATACCTGCTGTACCAAAAATTCGTAATATATCATATGATGACCATTTGTCATTGTCCGGATATTCTTCATTAAAAATAGCTTGATTTATTTTTTCTTGTTTTTTGTAATATGGCCAATAACATTTTTTATTATCGCTAAATATCCAAGACGTGGGAATAAGTTGGATTCCATCTTCGAACTCCACTATCGAAAATCTTCCCATGTTCCAATGTATGAATGAAAAAAGGCACTGTTTAATAAAAATCATAAATATAATTAAATATATTATTGCAAGTAATATAGTATATAAGAATTCGAGGTATTTATATGTATATTATAGATGCTAAAGGAAAATAAGAAATATAGAAATATGTATATATTTATTTACCAAATAATTTATAATTATATAATATATATAATTTATATAAGTAATTATATAATATATATAATTTATATAAGTATTTATATAAGTTATTCGATAAATAATTAAATTATTTATTTAAACAATTATCCATTTCATTTAAAAAAATTATCAATAGTAAAGATCTTCAGATTTGAATTGCGAATTTGAGTATTTTTACTTTTAATTGACGTGATTGGTTCAGCTGATAGTTATTGCTTCTGCAATTGCAATTTAGTTGTTCAAAACAATTATTTGTCCAAGAACTTCGTAATGCTTGTCTATACTTAGTGGCCATGAAATCTGCACAAACAATTAATATTATTGTTGGATAAAGTTACGAGATAAATTATAGGTGTTAATCAGCGATTATATTTAATAAAAGAATATACAGTAAAAGAATATTTACACACAGAGCTTTTTTTCATGCTCTCAGCATGCACATTGCTCATGCACTCTCTCTCAACTTTACATTATTACTTTTAATATCAATAATATATTTACCTGAGTATATATATACCTGACAGATGTTAAAAATTATGCAAGATCAAAAATATCTAACAAGTTAATATAAATAAAAGGAAAAAACCAACAAAAAAAAACAAAAAGGTAGAAATATATACATGCAACATTTAAAATTAATATAAGTATTTAGATTTAATAACGTAAATGTAACATACTTAATTTCAAATACCTCACTGAAACAATTTTAACTTTACATTTTTTAATTATATAATAAATATCTTCACACTATGTAAAAATTATATAAATACCAATTATATTTACATTCTTGAAAATACCTTGCATGCAAACGAACAAGCAAGTACATACGTGTTAAGATTATATTTTTATTATGTCAGGCAGTATGTAATAGCGGAAAAATAATTAATTTATTCTTGTAGCGCATTAGCCATAATTTCCCTGCTATTTCTGATATAGGATATACACATAATGTTTCATTTTTCGTCACGATTGTGATATGAAGCGTACTCGATAATAATGGAGACGAATACACGTTTCCTATCGGTATTAACTTGGTTCCAATTATGTAAATTCTATTATCGCAGCTTTCTATAATATTATAAATTACTATTGCTGTACCATCCTTTAAAATGCAGGTATTGTTTCTTTTATCTTTACAATTTATCGCATACAAATTGTTAAAACATCTTTTATATTGTATTTTTACTTCAATTTCTTCACAAAGTGGTCCATCAAAATGTACATCCTTAAGTGAAAATTTATCTTTTTGCAAAGGCCATTTAAGTGTTCTTTTATAATCTGCACGTATTATTTCTTCATGTCTTCGTGCTAATTGCTCAAGAGGCTTCTCATTTTTTCTTAAATGCCTCTTTATAGTTGACATATAATTTTCGAAGCGAAATGCACTAAACATATCTAAAGAACCAAACTTCTCAACGTCTGTACATATGTGCAAGATATTATGTATATTATAAGTAACATATTCTTTACCATAAATAATAGAAAACGATATAACAAAATGTTCTAATAAGTTCTGTGCATAATCCAAATATTCTGTAACCAAACTAGGATTAACAAGAATTGTAATAGCAACATGTAACGTAAGAAAGTGAACGTACATATTTTTTGGTAAATAATCTTTTAATACGATTGGTCCAGTATATAATAAAAATTGTCTATATTCAGTTGCTTTCCATTGTAGAGCATGTTTAAGACCTCGTGGTTTTCGAACAAAGTCATTTGGACATCTTTTTTGAGACAATTGTACTATTTTTGATATTTTTGCAATTATACGTAAGCCTAATCGTACATTATTAGGACTTTTTAACCAAAGCCACAATAACTTTTTCATAATTCCTAGACAAATTAAATGCATATAATCCAGTGGTGTATTTGTTATTAATCCAAAATTGGGAATTTCATTTAAAATAGACTTTCCAATTTGGTGGTCTTTGTATTCCTCATTTGCAAATTTGTCGTCAGTTCTTAGAGCATTTTGTAATGTTCCTGGAAAGCAAACTTTTGATTCATTCTCCTTGAATAGTGCATTTCCGACAAGAATTATAACCAGTATGTTGTTTAACTGATAAAACATATGCTGCAGCAGGAGCGTCACAAATTAAAGCAGAGATACAAACTTTAACTTGCACATTGTTATATAAAAAACCGTCTCGGTTTAATTCGATAGCTTCATCAACAAATGGTCGTAAAAATTCTTCAGCATGTGTTGGTTTATTTTTTCCGCAAAAACATCCAACAATGTAAACTTGTTTCGAAATGTTATCTGAGCATAAAATTGGCCAAAAAATTGAGCCTTCAATATTTTTTGATAATGGCAATCCATCAATATTAATTAAAAGACAAACAGTTTCATTATTTGTAATCTTTTCGCGATTATTTAACAATTCTTCGACTGCTCTCTTCAAGCCGAAATGATAATAATGACTTCTACTTATAGGCACAATATTTGTCCATCTAGGCGTATGTAACAAGTTTTTGCTATCTTTTGGAAAATTACAACTCGTATACTTATTTAAAATTAATAATAGTGCATTGATAGCATTATGGAGAATCCTAAATTTAACAGCCCATTTTTGGATGTCATGTTTAAATTCATCTTCATTGTCTACATTTCTTTCATATATTTTTGTAGACAAAGAAATATCCAAGTTATTTGAACTGTCTTTGCTATTGTAACTTGTATTGTCACTATTGCTATCATTATTCTTGGTAAGTACTATGTTATCGTCACATTGAATTGATTCATTCAACACTTTTTCTGAATGAATATTATCTCTCTGCATTATTTTCCTACATATAAATAAATATACACACAATAAATACAAATAAAACTAAAAAAATTATATTAACAGTTAGGAAAAATAATCTGGCCATTAATAATATATTAATTTACATTAACTTGATAATATATAGTAACTTTATAATATAATAAATAATAATTGTTCATTAATAAAAGCAGTGTTACAAAAAATTGTAGTTTATGTTTACTACAAAATATTTCAAATATAAAATGAACCTAATCTAATGATACATGTTATGTTAATGATATATGTTATTAAAGCAAGGTTGATAATTTGTAGGCATAGTGTGTTTTATTTACAAATAATTAAAAAAATTAAAAGTTATATAACTTTCTTACTTTAAAATGTTCGATTATACATTTTATAAACACGTAAAATTACACGTAAAATTAAATTGTGAACTTAAATATATTTCAGATTGTAAATAATATTTTATTTAATATTATTGTTATAGCCCGAGAGACTATAACTTATTTTAGTAATTATATAAAACATTCGCGAATATCGTAAAGAACATTCGCGAGCCGCGCCAAGAACCGCTAACTCAGCGAACTACCCTCGCTCACCGGAAACGCGAAAGACGCTAACGAAGGAATTCGACTTTGAACTTCCTTCGCTTGCATTTTGATTATGAACGCCACAGAAAACCCCATGACCATATATGGTCATGTTGCCAGGCGATCCCCTCCAAAAAACCCTTCAAAACAGAGGGAATAAAAGCCGTCCACCGCAAATCCGCGGCGGACAGTCACAAGTAATAAATCAATCACTAAAGTAGTGCCGAGTGCTAAACCGTTAAAATTGTGCAACGAAGACACCCAAAGAAATTGTAAACGCTCTAAATCTATTTACGAACGATTCGAGGAAAGGACAACGAAGAGAAGGCTCGAAAGAAACTGATAAGAATAGAAGATATTAAGCGAATATATATTTGTAAACTAAAAATACAATAAAAACTCTAAAGGATAATACGGTTCTATTTTATACTCCCGGCTACCCCACACCCCGTGCCCCGCCGGGCACAACATTATTGGTGGCAGCGGTGGGATAGCCGAGATCGAGGACCATCCTGGATCCTTAACGCCTGCAACAAAAAGAAAATACAAAATTAATAAACTGGAGAGAGCACCGGCTACATTAAAGCAGATAGTCTCAACCAGCAACGTACACGGACGACAGTGATAAGGAAATCACGGCCAAGCAGCTGAAAGCAGAAAGGAAACACCAGCGCTCAAGGACCAACGTCGATCCACGGCCAAGGCAACGCAACGCAGACGGACAACGCATCACCGACGGATAGCGCACCAACGGGACAACGACCCACCAGCAGCATCAACAGTCGAGCGATACGATAAGCGACCTGATAAGTTACGACCATGCGAATCACCGTACTATTACTGTAAGTCGAACTTTATTTAAATGTCAGCACCGTCAAAACAAGTAAAATTTAAGAGTCCGCGATTTCTGAGCGTGCCAGCACGATTGGCAAATAGATTCGGAATTGTAACTCCGATCCGAGTAGCAGAAGAGGCTGCTCGCGATATTCGTAAAAGCGTGCGAAAAAATTTAGAAAAACACTATTCGAGTTCTAATTCATCCGAGGAACACGAACCGAGTAATAACGATAACACTGTACAAGACGGACCAAGTCGCGTTACAGTACGAAGAAATTATTCACCGTTATCAGTTGATATTAGTTTATTCGAGCCACGTGCGCAAGTAAATATGGAAAACGAAGCCGTCGATAGAGAAATCGAACGCATGCGAGCGCAACAGGCCGAACTAAACGCAGCCGCGGCCTATGAGGACGCAGGTCAGCCGGCCGAAGGAACGAGTAACATATTACTCGCCGAACTCGTACACAGTTTCCGCGAAATGCAAACCGAAATGCAGTACATGCGCGAACAAATGCGAGAGATACAAACCGCACAAGCAAATTTAAACGAAGCGCGAGTAAATGCAAACACTGTCCCACTCGACGTAACGTACGGACGCACTCAACGCGATATACGAAACCGACGTAGCGCAGCCCCGCACTATGTATCATTAAAAGAAGCGCGAACAATGATTCCCGAGTTTGATGGGACGACGCGACATAAATTACAGGAATTTTTAAACGCTTGTACGTACGCGGTACAAAATATTAATCCCGCGGACGAAGAATCGTTAATACAAGCAATTTTGTATACTAAATTAAGAGGTAAAGCCATGCAAGATTTCGAAACGCGAGATATCCAGACATTTGAAGAATTGAAAACACAACTCGAAACTTGCTATCAAGCGAAGCAAAGTACAACGCACTTACAAATAGAATTTAATTCTTTAAAACAAAAGTCAAGCGAAACCGCCCATGCATTCGGCCAACGTGTCGATACGTTAGCCATGAAACTATATGAGTCCATGGTGGAAGGAGAAGAACGGCCTCCTTCATTTAAACAAGCAATACAAGAAACCATTAAAAAACAAGCGCTAATAAATTTTCAAATCGGACTACGC